GGTCAGCAATGACTGAGCGCAGACAAAAAAAAAAAAAAAAAATATGGAAAGTGAGCAGCCTAACACTACTGAGTGATTAGAGTTGGTGTGGGAATCAGACGAGATATTAGTTGAGAGACTAATATGGAGGAATATATGTGAATAGTGAAATATTGAGTGACAAAGGAAGAGCAGTGATTGGGGTAAAAAGAGAAAAAAGGATGTAAGTGAAGACTAGGGAATTTTTTTTAAAAGGAAGGAAAAGCATGTCAAAAATTAGAAAATAAAGTTAAGCAAAATAAGATTCATTTCAGCAGTGCTAAATAGTGGAGAGCATCCTACAGTTTACATATTAAGATTTTTGCTGAACAAAAGACCAGCTGAATCCCATGAAAAAAAATTTCTACCATCTTGTTGCTTTTACAGTGAATGTCAAAGAATTACTATACTGCTGCTGATTTATTATTTATTATTTATTTCTAATATATTCCCCCAATTCACTCCCTCCTTAATAAATCTAAGGTTTAGAAAACCATAAACTGAAGAAAGCAAATGCCAGAGAAATACCTTTGTTACTAGTGTACTGTATATAGCTTGGATTCCACTCTAGTGGAATTCTATTCCCAATTAAATGAATGGAATTAGAAAAATAATAAAGAGCTCCAATCCCATTCTTTAATTAATTCAACTAATTCAGTCTACATTATCATTTAAATGATTCTAACAACAAAAGTGAAAAGATAAACATAGTGCTTAACATATTTCCTGTTCCATAAAACCTTTAATTACTATACTACTAGAGTCCATGAGGATTGAGGTGCTAGATAAATTAAATAAATAATCTACCCACCTGCCTCTCATAGCCTCATAGAAGGCAAAGGAAGGCAGGATTAGAGCTAGACTGGAAACTTCAAGGAAGCAGCAAAGTATTAAAAGCTTATTAACATGACAGCTACTCAATGAGAGCACAGATGCCATTGAAAAGTGATGGGTTCTCCTTCACATGGGACCTTGTAAGCAGAGACTAGAGACAAACTGTCACAGCAGTTACAGCAACTGAAACGCTAAACATAGCCAGTTATAGACTAGGCTGGGAATCAGACAAAATATCCCTGAAGATGGAAATGTCTGGCCATCCATATTGATGTCAAAGCATGGTGGTGTTCATGTAGTCATTAGGGTTCAAGCTCAATCGCAAGACTTTACTGTTTATATCAGGATTCCCCAAAGTGGCCAATATCGACCTCCAAGGGGTCAATGTTCTTATTATCAGTAGCAGTTCTATTAGTTGAAGTAGTATTTATTATGTTCATATACTGTTTGGGGGTCAATGAATAATCTGAAACTTCATGAAGGGGTTGATAAACTGAAGAGTTTGGGGACCCTTGGATTAGATGGACATCTGCCATTGTCATCCAGGATTGGAATGGATTATCTCTTTTTCCAAGGATGCTTTCGGCTTTAAACTTTTAGCAAGGTTGAACTACATCAGTAATTGGATGGGAAAGCATCAGGGAATCCCATAATTGTAGATTAGACTGAGAACTCAAAAAAGCATCCTAGAACACAGCAACGGCACTTCTACATTACCAAGAAACAAGGACAAGAGTTCAGCTGCACTCCAGGGAAATGTTAGCGACGTCTTTGTTACAGAGCAGTTCCAGGAGAGTCCTTTTAAGGAAAATGGGAAAAGCCAAGTAACCAAGATACTTCCTGGGGCTCAGCTAAAATATTGCGACAACAGTGATGAAACTCCTTCCTGTTTAATTATAGCCATATTTTAAAAAATCTCCATAGTTTTTAAAATTCGACGCGAAAAACGCCTTTGCCTTGAATCTCCGCAAAAGGTCCAGCCAGGGGGTTTGGGATCGTGGGGGGGGGGGGTTGCTGCCACCCTATTTCCCCCCCTCCCC